AAAATGAGAATTTTTAATAACAAAAGTATTAATAAGTAAGGTCCCATTGATAGCCAAAAAAGTAAGGTCCTTTTACTATAGTTTTAATTTTATTTTTTTATATATTTAATAAACAATGTTATATTTGGATTAAATTTAATAAATTTTAATTTTTATACTAAATTCTTATTTTTAAATATAATAAGAGTTACTAAATATATAAAATAAAAACTTAAAATTACACTAAATGGAGAAAAAAGCAATGAGGCTGTTTTTTTTTTACTTTTTGCAACTTAAACTTCTGCCTCTCTTTTTTTTTGGCCAAAAAAACTTCTGCCTCTTAAAAAAAATAGAGAGAAAAATTTCCCATGCTATTCCTAATTTCCTCCTACTTATTCTTTTACTGTTATGGTTAGTATTGGGCTGTTTTTTGGGCCGATTATTTCGGCTTTGTGTGAATAAAAGGAACAAAACCCAAAGCCCATTGTTTCTCCCAAAAATTGATAAATTGATAATGCAAATGAACCCAAACCAAGGCCCAATTCGAGACCCACAATTTTGCCTCTCTTCCTTTTGACCTGCCTCAATAAAATCTAGCTGCAAATTTTTATTTATTTGTATTTTTTAAAATTGGCAATTGGAGGAGGGATTATTTTTCAAATCTTAACTCAGAGTAAAACTGGACACTTAAGGCCAGTTCAGCTGCAAATGGTTTGAAAATAATTTATATATACATATAATACAAATTAATTTAAGAAAAAAGTGTTTATTAATCGAATCTAAAAAAAATTAGGAAAAAAAATCTTAAAATTATGTCATTTTAATAAAATTTAATTTTAAAAAAACTAAAATAATCTATTTTTAAATCAATATTGAATTTGTTTTGGTCTTTTTCTATATATGGTACTTTAATAAAATAACATAATTGTAAGATATTTTTCTTTTTAATTTTTTGGAGAACTAGCAGACAAATATCATTGCTTAACCAAAAAGTGTAATGCAGTCCAGACTGTGCTGGACTACATTAGACTAACCATCAAATGGAGATGGGCCCTTGATATTGAGGCCTTTCTTTACATTCAATAGTTTCTATTTTGCAGTTTAGTACAGTCCAAACCATAAAATAAGGTTCTTATTGCTTAATTTAAACACATGTAAAAAAGAAAGTCTTATACGCGTATCTAAGTTTCAATACAGTTAAAACTTTTAGAAATCAAATGTTGAATTAATTATTTTATTCATGCATATCATTCATGCTAAATTTCACATTAATTGAATATATATGTTTAATTATTTCATTAATATCACAATTTTATATTATCAAAATGTAAAGTTTGTTTTATTAAATAGTTACAAATGTTATTAATTTGAAATTTGGCATCTATGACTTGCATAAATAAAACAATTATAGACATGTGTAAAAATTTTTTATTCTTACACATATGTAAGAATATCTTTAATCGTACTTTTCTCACATACACACAAATAGTGTTTGGAATAGGGTTTAATGTAGAACAAGTAAAAGTTGGGGTAGAAAATAAAACTTAATGGTTAAAT